GAATTTAATTGTATCTGAAGAAGGAAAAATGTTTTTTGAATTGGTTGTGGTTGACCTAATGATATTCAAGTTCATTTGATCTAAAGAAAGAAAAATAATAATATAGAAAACTAGTTTTTACTTACTTGGAAAAGATTCAATCGTCTTATATCTAAAGAAATAAAAAAATATTAGGTTAGTTTTTGCTTACCTTTCCATACTGAATTTAATTGTATCTGAAGAAGGAATTTTTTTTTCTCAATGAATTGTTGTTCATCTAATGTTATTCAAGTTCTTTCGATCTAAAGAAAGAAAAATAATAATATGCAAAACTAATTTTCACTTACTTAAAATGTATCAATCGTCCTTTATCTAAAGGAATAAAAAAAAATGTTAGGTTAAATTTTGCTTACCTTTCATATTGAAGTTAATCGTATGTGAAGAAGGAAAACTGTTTTTTCAATCAATTGTTCTTCATCTAATGATGTTCATGTTCGTTCTATCTAAAGAAAGAAAAATAATAATGCACAAAACTAGTTCTCACTTACTTAAAAAAGGTTCAAACGTCTTACATCTAAAGAAATAAAAAATAAATATTAGGATTAATTTTTGCTTACCTTTTCATATTGAATTTGATTGTATCTGAAGATGGGAAATTTTTTTTTAATCAATTGTTCTTGATCTTATGATATTCAAGTTCGTTCTATCTAAAGAAAAAAAAATTAATAATGCACAAAACTAGTTTTCACTTACTTAAAAAGTATCAATCGCCTTTCATCTAAAGAATTAAAAAACATACTAGTTTAAATTTTGCTTACTTTTTCATATTAAAGTCAATTGTATTTGAAAAAGAGAAAATATTTTTTGGATCAGTTGTAGTTGATATAATGATATTCAAGTTAGTTCTGCCTAAAAATAGAAAAAGGATAATGTGGAAAGTTACTTTTTAGTTGCTTGAAAGTTAGAATCATATTTTATCGAAAGGAAGTGAAAGAAATATGAAAATTAATTTTCTGTTATCAGGATGGTAGTGAATCTTGTTTTCTCTATATGAAAAATAATAATAATGTTGAAATTACGGTACTACTATTTCAAGTGACGAATTATGGAGAAATGGAAATGAACAGCAAGACAATGTGTAGAAAGAAGCTTTAAATGTGTTCTGGCTGTTGATGAAAATGAATGAGGGAAAGATCTTTCCATTTGCAGTGATATTATTAGTTTTATTTGGAATCGTTTTAGGTTTTCAGCCAACTTCAGCGTTGCAATAATAAGAGGACAATGTGTCTATGAGCTTGTTTGTAGTAACTTATAAGTCAATACGAGAGCCGATTTAACCAGGACACGCGAATATAGAGCGGCATCTATGTTTCTGATTGGTGAAAAGGAAAGATCTATGATTGCGTTGATTTGATTTATACTGAAGATGCCTAAAAAGATTCTATTCGAGTGACAGATTGAAAACGTGCTTTTTTGCAGTTGGAATCATTTTAATTTATTTCGGTGACAATCTTTAAGTTCTTGAAATATAGATGATACAACGAAATTGATCTTATATTATAAAAAATACTAAGAACAGAGAAATTCTAAAGAAAAATATGAATATGTCTATTGAGTTAAAATTTTTATAAAATGATATTGTCGTTGATATAATGATTTAAGGGCTTGTTTATAATTAATTAATATCTGTGTATAGTAGCTAATTTGAAATCTTTTTTTTCATGATTTAGAAGAAAAAAATAATGCACGATCAAGAATAGAGTTTCATATTTCATCAATGTTTATTTTTTTTCATATCTTAGAAAAACATCATATATGTACAATATTTCATTCATTATGTTCATCTTAATGACGTTTCAAGTTTACATTAAAAAAAAACTATAAAAAATACTAAATAGTACAAAAACAATATTAACTGTTAATCACAATGTATATAGATTAGTAACGACGTTTTCGTTTAATCTTGTGACGAGTACCAACATGTAAATTTGTATCAACTAAAGAATTAATATCATTTTGTGAATCATCATCACTATCAAATGTTAATGCTTTTTTCTTTACGACTTTTCAAAAAATGTTCAGATTTTTTTTGACAATCAACATTTGATGAAGATTTTTTAATTGTATCATCGGACCTATGCATAGAAAAATTATAACATTTTTAAATTCATGTACAAATATAATACTTACTCTGTAGATGTAATAGTTGTATTGATTTTTAAATTATTATTATGTAATGAATAAACATCTTCAAGTGGAGCAGATAATAAATTAGAACTAGCTTGTGATGAAGGATGTGTATCATTAGTAACAGCTGAGTGACTGTTTGAAATCAAATTTGTACTTTCACAGATTTTTCGATTTTGTTCAGTATAAATTTCAATATTCTTTTCCTTAATTAGACTACGCATTTTATTTGATAAATATCTTGTATCACCAAACATGATTGCATATAAAAATAGTATTGCTCGACCATTTTTAAGAAAATTTAGTTCGAAAACGACATACATTGCTAGTACAAGTGCTAATCCATCATCAGGTGATGTTGTTGAAATAATTGAAAGAAAATCTGTAAACACAGTGATTGTATTATCAGTAAACACCATTGATGGATATAGACTTGATGGTGACTAGAAAAAAAAGTATTCACGATTAGCAAACCAAAAAATGCTTGTGTGCTATATATCCACAATATATTGATTATTCTGGCCAACTCGTGTGAAAATATGCTGAGACTATCATATCATTCTACATAAATTAGTTTATTATAAACTGGGCATTTTTTTATTAAGTGATATTTTGTTTAACATTAGACTGACAATTAAAAAAATGAAATTATTAATTATATATATTTGACTTGTATTAAATTAAAGTGAAAGAAATTTATATTTATTTTGTTAAGACTTTTTTCGAAAACACTTGATGAATGTTAAAACTATTTTGTTTTACTTCGAAATCATTTTATATCGTGTAAATCTTATTCTGAAGAAGAACATTGAATTTGTAGTACATGAAAACTAAAATAAATTTATATTTATTCCAATTAGAACAAAATAATTTTACGTTCACCAAGTGTTTTTGAGAAAAAATCTTAACGAAAGAAATATAAGTTTGCTTTACTTTGATTTAATACAAGTCAAATATAAATAATGAATAATTTTAATTTAATTTTAAGTTTAATGTTAAAAAATAGGTTTCGTAACAAGTATTTATATTATAATAATTTAAGCTGAAATTCATTTATATTTATTCGCTTTAACATTTTTATACAAGAAAAAAATTAATTGAAAATATTTATCTTTTTTAAGAATATTACTTTTCATCTTTATTTAATTTATCTATTAACATCTTACATAAAATTGAATTTTAATTTAAGATTACGATAAAATCTTTTTTATTGTATGAAAATAATTTTTTAGAATGTGCAACGATCAAAATTATCTTATTGCATACAATAATTATTTTTTTGAAATTTTTTTTGTTATTATTTTAATTGATTCCTTAGAATAAATCGTCGCAAAATATAAAACTTTAAAAAGATCTCCAAATACGAACCGAGTTATTTTTTTACGTAAAATAATTTTTTTTATTTTTCTCAATAAATTCTATATCAGAATATCAGTAACACAAATGCTATAAAAGACGATTCATATACTTCCTTTTATCCGATCGAAATTGCTGATATCAAGAATTTGGCTGATGTTCGGAAACAAAGTTAATAGAATAGTTAGTAAAGTGCATTATGATGCACTTCTCAGCACGCGTGCGTCATGCTAATGCCAAAATTTTACAATAATCAAAGAGTAGTCAACATCCAAAAGTAGAAAAGTTATTTTTTATATCATAAAACAAGAAGCTTTTCATGAAAAAGCATACTAATATCCCCTTGAACATAGAACAAAAACTTTTAATCAAAAGAAATGTTGATATATTCTCGAATATAAAATAAAACACCCTTTTCATGAGAAGGCAGAACAATAAACCCTTTTTATGAAAAGGTAGAACAATAAACCCATGACCGTAGAATAATAAACCCTTTTCATGAAAAGGTAGAACGATAAACCCTTGATCGTAGAATAATAAACTCTTTTTATGAAAAGGTAGAACAATAAACCCTTGACCGTAGAATAATAAACCCTTTTTATGAAAAGGTAGAACAGTAAACCCTTGTCTGTAGAATAATAAACCCTTTTCATGAAAAGGTAGAACAATAAACCCTTGGCCGTAGAATAATAAACCCTTTTTATGAAAAGGTAGAGCAATAAACCCTTGACCGTAGAATGATAAACCCTTTTCATGAAAAGGTAGAACAATAAACCCTTGGCGGTAGAATAATATACCCTTTTCATGAAAGCGTGGAACAATAAACCCTTGATCGTAGAATAATAAACCCTTTTCACGAAAAGGTAGAACAATAAACCCTTGACCATAGAATAATAAACCCTTTTCATGAAAGGGTAGGACAATAAACTCTTGGCCGTAGAATAATAAACCCTTTTCACGAAAGCGTGGAACAATAAACCCTTCTTCACTAGTCATAAACCCTTTTTATTTTCAAATACCCTTTTTCTCAGAAACCCTTTCGCACAAAAACCCTTTAAGGGTTTAATACACCAGCATAAACCCGTTAAGGGTTTAGGAAAATTTTCCTAAAGTACTAGGGTTTAGTATTCTACGAATTTTTTTTACAGTGCACTCCCATTTCGTCAAATCGAACGGGACCAATTTGAATTTTTGATA